ACCGAGTACCGATACCGATATTTTTATTGCATTTGTACATTTTTTAAATATTGGGTACAGAAACCAAAATTTATTCAGACACCTTCAACATTTCTCACATTATCACAGTTTATTTGCTATAGTTTATAAAATGGTAATAAAATATGACAAGAACTCGGAGTTGAACTGTGTCAGAACAAAATCATCTTGATAATGTCAGATAACTTTGATAGAAAGGTATGTAATGGATTAAGATCAACCAAAAATTATTCAGCTGTTAAATTTAAGTACACAATTTGATAATACCAATTTAGGTCAACCAATTACATCCTGTTTTCAATGTCCGTGTTTTTATGCCATACAATGTACCATGATGCTCTTCCCTCTCAGTGGCTTCTGTGATCTGATCACGGTGTGACGGACAGACAGACGCAGGTCATCAGGACTCATTCACCATCTCTACAGGACGATACCAACATCACACCGAGACAAACCACAGCACATTCAACACAACTATGCTGGAAAACACACTGAACATGAGGATGTGTTCTCCAAACAAATCTGTCGACTACACTAAGGGTTAGTGCACCTGAAAATGACATTTCTGTCATTATTGTTGTTCCAAACCTGTAAGATTAACTTTCTTCTGTTGAGCACAAAACAAGGCTCGAAATTGCAACCATTTTGGTCGCATATGCTCCCGTAAGTTAATCTGTGCGACCTCAAAATATATTTGGGAGCATTTGTGCGAGGGCATATAATTGTTGTCGTGCAACCTGTTTTCATTTCTCTAAAAACGTTCAGAGTATGTGCCTTCTGAGTGCTGATACGGTGACCGGTCTGCCGTTCTATCAAACGTTAGGCTACATAACCAATTAAACTTCATCTTTACATTCTTAACTTCAATGCAGATTTTAGATTGGTTAATATTAGCCGTCAATCACTCAGTCACTGCTTTCCGCTGTCAGGTGACAGGCTAACTACCGCGGGGAACGCAAAGGGCTGAAGAAGAGAGAAAATGAACACTGACAGATTTCTTTCGTAAACCACCTAAAGTTACAAATAATGGTGCTGGTGATAGCGATCATGTGGTGAATGTTGATCCACCAGCCGAAAGAAGGCGTACAGAGAGAATGGCTGAAAGACTTCGAGTGGCTCCGCTATGAAAATGCACTGTGCTGTGTGAGCTGCATTCACTGTAAAGCCTGTGAGACGGAGTTTGCAGGTAACAGCGTTTGCCACTGGATCTACACATTTCGTAATTGATGTTTTACGATGTGCGATTTGACATTATCGAGTATATTGCAAAATCCAAACAAAACACACCTACAGAGTGCACGCATACATGACGTGATGAAGTCTAGTAGGTTAGACTCGTGCCCATTTAGAGTGCGTTTTTTTCACTGCATGACTAAGTCTATTAAAATGCATCACAAAATTCAAGATATGGGGCCTTTATATCATTTCACATAGTTAATCAATATCACAAGAAGAGTGCCGTTTTTCTCCAAAAATCAGCATGATTACAAATGTGATATTGATTTTTTACAACTGTTCAATAAACCAGAAGTTAATATTAAGAGACTTACGTTTTAGACACTATATTGCCTGTTTTTGCTCTATTTCGCCAACAAAAATAATCCCGAATACAGCCCGTTTTATGTTTACAATATTACATTATTTATGAATGTGTAACTGCCAGTTAAATGCATTCATGTCCTGCATTAATCAGTGTGTAAATGCATCTAAACGCCACTTCAGACGCAGCTTCTGTGTTTCCTCTGCACTGCAAAGATTCATTTTGTTGATACTTTCATTTGCTTGACAATAACAGCCCAAATGTCTTATTATAGCCTAATTGACTGATTAAATATACGAATTTGACTCAAATGATAATGCACACTTTTTAGGAAAAATGGCTTCAAGGTAAAAATGACCATAAAAGGTAAAAATCAATTTAAACTTGTTGGTAAATATTAATTTCCGTCACTGCTGTGAACTCACCAGCACACAGAATATGAAGAATATCAAGAACTTTATTAGTCAGCTGTCCACGGTAGTCCTTAAGATATCAGCCCATTAACACTCAGTCAAATTATCGTTATCGATAAAATCCCAGAAAATATAGAGATATAATTTTTTGTCAATATCGCACACCCCTAGCCACCCCTAACCTGTTCCGTGCAACTGGCAGAGCAAAATGTAATTCTTTTCATTTTCTCTCTTCTTCAGCCCATTTTTTTTCTCGCTGTAGTAAGCAGAAAGTAGTGACTGAGTGATTGACAGCTAATATAAACCAATCTAAAATCTGCATTAAAGTAAAGAATGGATTCTTAACACATTTATTGCAACTACATTTAATCTTTTTTCGTCAAACAAACAGGCTAATGAATAGCTCAACACAACTCATAACTGGGCAGAGTCTAGACAGGGTTTTCTTCTGTGTAGATATAAATTCTATTGTTATAATTGATATCCCAAAAGGATATGCACTTGTGCGCGGCGTGAGCTGCTGTGCACTCACACTGCAATGCAAGATTTTCATAAAATATAATAGCTTGCCATTTCGGTTTGATTCTCACGCAGTTTAGAAATGTACAATTTTAGGATTCTATGTATAAAAGCATTTTGAATTTGAATTACATTGACTGTTGAGAATTTTCTGAAGCATGTTCACTGTAGCCTATTATTTCTGAACATATAACATTCCACTTGAGATGGAACGACTTGTGGAGTATGTAATGTGTCCAGGTGGGCATATTTTCATTTTTGGTTGAACTATTCCTTTAAGAGTCCCTCTGATCAGAACTATTAATGCTTTCCTCAGACTAGATTACATAACTAAATGCCAATGACTAATTTATTTTACAGTGTTATTCTGCAGTGTTTCACCATGAGTAACTCTGCAGTCAAACCAGCAGTAACGTGACTCATCAATGGAGACATCACAAACTTCCTTAGGTCACACACACACACACACACACACACACACACACACACACACTCACATGCGCGAGATGCTGCAAGAGATGCTAGTGCAAGAGTCAAACGCGTCCATGTTTACATAGAAAAAACTATGGAAACGCAGCGCAATCGAATAAAAAACCTGTAAAGAACAACTACTGTATGTCTGATATTTCATGTTTGCATCATGGTGACAGACTGAAAGCTGCTGTTCTCGGTGGGCGTGGCTTCAGCAACCAGCTCCCGCCTTTTTGCCCGTTTTCGATTGTCCGGGAGTGACGCTCGGTGAGGCGCTGCCAAGATGGTGACGGCCGGCTCCGCCCACTTTGAGCTTCAAAAACGCTCTTCAGGAACCTACGGGTGACGTCACGGACACTATGTCCATGTTTTTATACAGTCTATGGTGTAAACACATCTAAACGCCACTTCAGATGCAGCTTCTGTGTTTCCTCTGCATTGCAAAGATTAATTTTATTGATAGTAGGGCTGGGTAAAAATATCGATATCTTGATATTAATCAATTCTCATTTTTACGGAACGATATCGATTCTTAAATCCCAAGAATCGATTAGTCTAGCCTGTGTTCATTTAATGAACGGAACGTTGAAGGGCACCTCCCATCCAACATATCGCAATAAGCATTGTGCGTTGGTACTTTTAATATGAAATAGTCTCAGATTTTAAATTCTGTCCATTGTATTGCAGTATTCAATAGGGCTGGGCGATATGGCCAAAAAAATTATCACGATAATCTTTTTCATATCAGTCGATATCGATAAATGTCAAATCTTTATTTCTTTCAAGTTTAAAGCCAGATTTTTGCTACAAAGTGAAAGTTGTAGAAACCAGACCATTAATTTTCCTTAAAATAAATATCTGAATAGACAAATTAATTTCTTAGTTTCTGCATGTTCTAATGAGTGATATTGTTTCAAATCAAGAAACAGGTTTGGATCACTTTTTTATCTCTTAGAAATGCACATTTGATTTAGTTAGGTGAACTTGAGTTAGGATGCAGAGGTTCATTATCAAAATCAGTAACATCTGTAAAAACAGAAAATTGTAGCAACCTCAGTTTTATATGGTTAAATTTATTCTGACCAAGGTTTTATTTTATTTATTTTTTATTTTTTTATTAAGCATTGGTCTCCTATAGTAGCATACATTTAAATCATGATAAACACAGTTAAAACCACACATATAGCACCTCAATACCATGGTAAAAATATAACTTTATGGTTTTTAGGTAGCCTATTTGTATGAAAAACAGTAGTCTAAAAACATTCAGTATAAATGCACACATGCTATAGCTTAATCACAAATACATACTATAGAGAATAGGAATGTGTCGTCACAGCGGCAATGCATTCTGGGAATTTAGGTCACGGGAGCTATAGCAGAGACTGGATAATATAGTGAATGTAGACATTTGATATTATTTAATGTTTATATTATTCTACTTAAGATCGCGTTGGAGTGGTTAAGGCTCACTTTACATCATCTGCCATAGCCCTTTGCACGGCCGGTGTGAAAAACCTGCTTTTTTCAGCGCTAGAAAGCTGAAAGCAGAAGTAATTCCTGCAGACACTGATAAGGGCTATTTATATAGTTATATACATGCTTTTGATTAATGCTATGTTGATACAGTAAGCGTTAATCATTCATTCCAACGTGATCTTAAGTTGAATCATATAAACATAAAATAATATAAAATGTCTACATTCACTACAGAACTCGGATGAAAGTTAAACTGAAACTCGGTACTGTAAACAACTCAAATAAGATGTGTCTTAATAATTGATCTCTCTAGATTTATTATATACAGTCTGCATTAAACCGTAAGCCCTCACACTACAAATAGAAGAAAGTCATATATGGAAACGTTATCTTGTGGCAGCTCATTGATACCCAGCTACTTGTTTGTACAGATTTCATTCATTAATTTATTTGATTGCTTGCATCGTTGTTCGGCATCTCTAATAGTAAGAATCTTCAACTTGGTTCAATTCAAGGTGTTTATTAGCATCCACAATACACATCGTTTCAAAGCAGCTTACAGTAAGTTATGTCCCCTCTATAATGGCTTAATTCTTTAGCACTGAGCAGTTTTACTGGGCAATATGACGATATATAACAATGATAAATTATCCACTGTTTGAGATCTAGCTATGTATTCTCCCCTTTAAAAAATAGCCATGGTTTTGCTGCTCTAACCAAAGTGTTTTAGCAGTTAGCCTATATCAGTACCACTGTGGTGAAGGAGACTGAAGAATTAATATGTGCAGCCTCTCAGACAAACCACAGAGCGATTGTTTTATTTAAAGAGATTTACATATTAGTCCGTTTTATTCTAAGAGTATGTAAGATGGTTTTCAAAAAATATTAATAGTAAGCGGTCGGCTTTTTCTGTGGTGATTTGCGTGTGTTTACACTGTGTGCTCCTGAGCGTGACCTAAAACATGGCGGAATCCAACGCGGCGTGACGTAGATTCCCGTTCTCTATAATACCATTACTCCTGTAATAAAATTCAGTGTGAATATCCCACATTTCTGCCACAATACCATGGTGCAGTGAGTGTCACTACAGTAAATCCATGGTAAATGATGGCGATGTGTAGATTGAAAAGCCTTCTGACTGTCTCGTTGCACACAATGTTTCTACTGTTTGGCTTTAAACTAGTTTAAATTACCGAGTCATTCGTGTTCATCGCTGAATTCAAGCGCTTCACACTGGATCTCACAGCCGCATCATATGACCCCTTTAAGTATATGTAATCAAATTAGGTGAACAATCAAAAAGTCAAGTGTATTTGACATTTTGAGTTCTCCTCGCGTGGCATTAATGTTTATGGTGACTCATTGATTTACTTAATGACAATCAATTTATGGAAAATGCCATCCCTAGTGTGTGTGTGTGTGTGTGTGTGTGTGAGAGAGCGAGTGTGAGAGTGTGTGTGTGTGAGTGTGTGAGTGTGAGAGAGTGTGA